TTGCTTTCGTCCTCGAGTGGCCTAAGAAGCGCACATGTGGCATCCAGGTTCGCACGAGGACGAGCGGCCCGCTTTCTACGAATATTGTTTCCACCACTTTCTTCACTTCTATCTTTATCTATCGCTACTCCTGTCTCCCTGTCCTAACAATACAAAAACCCAGTACGCCTATACCTCCAGACAGTTTGTTCCTTTACGGACCATCGCGACGTACCCGCCGAACCGCTGCCGCCGGGACAATCAACAACGTAAACGAATGTATATTCTGGACAAATTGTACGCCTATGCGACCATACACTTATACTTTAATAAATTGAGGTGTAAAACAGTGTAACGACGTCCCTCGCCCACCTCAAATCCAATAACAGACTTCCTCTATTAATTTGCATTTAAATTTCAATTTCGTAGTAGCATATAACTTTCGAGTTTTCTAATTGCGACTGCTGAAACTTTCTGGCAAATTATTCTGCATTCGTTAAGATGATGTTTTAATAATTAATTCACTAGTTGATACGTGAAAATAAACCACCAGCTTAATCTTTCATTATTTTCTTTTTTTTTTCGGGTCAAAGTAAAAACGAGCCCGGATTTCAGTGTTATTGCTTTTGTCTCACTGGACCAGCGACTATGTCACCCTTAGCAGCATGTACTACCCACAAACAATTAGCATAAAGATGATAACACTGTGAAAGGAGCGGCAACAGATACCGTTTTCCATGGAAAAATAAGTTGAAACTAGTCTGAATAAAAATATGTGCGAAATAACGATGTATACAGGGTGAACCACGAAATGTGGCTCGTGTGATGACCTAACCTAACTTTAATACATTTTGTTATTAGCGGAGTGATTGAATTTTTGTTTCAAAGAGGTCCCTTAAGATGACTGTACTATACTTTTTATTAATTGTTTCTTTTTTTCCAAGTTTTCGAGGTCACCATTAGTTTTCTGTAGATGAATGTAGATCTATCACAGAAATACGTTGATCTTGAAAACTTAATCCTTTGCACTCCAAGCTTTTCTCCATTAGACTAATAGTGAAACTTCTGAGAATCGAAATTTTTGTTTTGAAAAAGAAAGGATTTTTAACGCTTATAACTTTACTTATTTCTATTTCTTCTATTAATTTGCATTATTTTGATAATATAAAAACACCTGAATTTTACATTTTAAAGTTCTCCGTGTCGCCATAACAGCGCCATCGGAGTGCAAAGGGTTAATAGAATAATAACCGATAAAAATTATGCTATGATCATCTTACGAGTCTCTTTGAACCATATTATGCGATAAAAAGAAATTTTTGAATGATTTAAGGTGATCACGTTACGAGGTTCACCCTGTATACGTTATTTTTGCGATGTATTAGATGTACAAATCAATTCTATGCCTTTTTTCCACAAAGACTTGAGGACTTTATCATCTCAAAATCGTCATATTTTTTTCAGAGAGAGAATTCATCGGTTACCCGATAAATGGACCAAGGTCATGCGAAATAATGGAGATTATTCTGAACAATAAAACTGCGTTTGACTTTTTTGTAAATAAACATTGGAGTTTGTGAAAAAAAGGGACCAAATTAATTTGTACACTTAATATATACGATGTATATAAGTATTAGGACACTTATTGAATGTGAAGCAAACCTAAGCAGTTATTACAAAATTATTAAGATCCTGAAAAATATGACGCAGACTGGAATTTAAAAAAAAATAAAACTTCTAAATATCTATTTAAGGTGTCAGGGCCGCATTTATACTTTTGAAGGTCCTAGGCGCAACATCATTACCAAGGCTCAAAAGGACAAGTCTATTTCAGGTAATCAAATTCATAAATTTGGCATTTTCGTTTTCAGAGGCCTCTTGTTTTTCTATTATTAATTTAATATTTAAAAGTAAGTATTTTATTTTACAACTATTATTATCA